AATAAACAACCGTACAAGCAATTAAAAATAAAAATATGTTAGATTGTTACACATTGACTTCATTTGTGTTTTTTTCTTCTTTTCTTCAGATGCTGGCACTAGGTAATCAAGTTGGCAAACTTTATGTTTGGGATTTAGAAGTAGAAGACCCCCATAAGGCCAAGTGAGTGTTTGGTTCTTGCTCGTTAGCACTACGGGACATGGATTTAAATTCTATTAATATGCTCTTAATTTGGGAAGCTGCAATAGGCAACTATACGCATTTGAAGGCTACTAGATCCTGTGTGAACTTGAAAGCTAAGCTGGGCCATCCGTGGATAGTAGTTGGATATGAGTCCACCAGTAAACAGCAGGTGCTGCAAACTGTACTTCAAAGGAAGGAACTCGCAAAACTACCTCTGAGTATTTCTAACTTAAGAAAACACTTAAATTCATGGCATCAGCATAAGCCAACAGGCAACTTGGGGGCACACACGCACACAATGTTTAGATGATGATATAAGGGAGCTAACAAAATCCACCTCCCCAAGCATATCTATTTTTGTACAATTTCTCTTTCATTTTCACATTACCTTGGGGAGAATGAGATATGCTTAATTTTGGCAGAAGTCGTTATGTGGGTAACTATCCCTCCACTTGGGAATATTACTTTGCAGATTCCAAGGCATTACTATAGGTATACTTTTCCCTGAAGAAGTAGACCTAACTCAGGAGAATATCACTTTGCAGCCACCTGGGGACACTGCATGACAGTAATATCTTTCTTCAGATTGGTGGGAGAGTTTTCTTACATTTAGGGAATTCAAAAAACAGTACGAGAGAGATCTTGTGGAACTATGATTGCTGTCTTCCTGTTCTTGTGGTAATAAGACTGATATTCACATGGTCTTAGATTATGTCTCTGTTGTCATTTTTTGACTCACCACGAAGACACTATACTTTGAAGACAATCATATTTGTGTGATAGTCTGTGACAAGCATGAGCAAATGTCAACCCTCCAGGTGTTTTTGACTTCAACTCCCACAAATCCAAATTGTGGGAATTAAAGCCCAAAAATACTTGAAGGGCCGAAGTTTGCCCATGCCTTTTCTATGATGAGAGCAAAGGAGAAACATGAATGTGACACTGATTCTTTTTTTTTTTTTTTAGGTGTACAACTCTTACTCATCCGAAGTGTGCTGCTGCTATTCGACAAACCAGCTTTAGCAGGGACAGTAGTATCCTTATAGCTGTATGTGATGATGCCAGTATCTGGCGCTGGGACAGGCTCCGATAAGTGATTTGCACTCCCTGATTGTGATACTGCTTTTTGTGCCAAGATAGTGAACCTGCTAGTATTGTAACTGCTTTGAGAGTAGTCCTCCCTTGCATCTGTGAACTGTTTAGCAGTGTTTATATTTGGTTTGGTATTGTCCTGTTCAAAAATACCTGCTTTTTAATAAAAAAATATTTTTGTAAATTTGGTTGATTGTTTTTTTATACTTGGTACTACTTACAATCTGTCGTCTTTCCCCCCGTTGCCTATATATTTTACAAGTGCTTTTTTTAAAAAAAACAAAACCTGTAAATAGGTTCACCTTAAGACAGAAATGACACCATAGCAAATATCTATCTATCTATCTATCTATCTATCTATCTATCTATCTATCTATCTATCTATCTATCTATCTATCTATCTATCTCAAAGCATATATGTTTATTGGTTGTTTTGTCCATTTGTACCACAAAGGCTCCTAAATCGCTTGATGGATCTGAACCAAACATGCATACCATTTGTTATCCAACTTAAAATAATTGAGTCCTGTTCTTTTCAGGCCTAGAATAGAGGGAAAGAAAAGACAGAATGGATTGGAGGTGGCAAGTGAAGTGGCCCTCTGTTATGTCACTGGGAAAGAAACTATGGAATATTGTGTCCAATTCTGGGCACCACAATTCAAGAGAGATATTCACAAACTGGAATGTGTCCAGAGGAGGGCGACTAAAATGATAAAGGGTCTGGAGAACAAGCCCTATGAGGAGCAGCTTAAGGAGCTGGGCGTGTTCAGCCTGAAGAAGAGAAGGCTGAGTAGAGGCATAATAGCCATGTATAAATATGTGAGAGGAAGCCACAGGGAGGAGGGAGCAAGCTTGTTTTCTGCTTCCCTGGAGACTAGGACACGGAACAATGGCTTCAAACTACAAGAAAGGAGATTCCATCTGAACATGAGGAAGAACTTCCTGACTGTGAGAGCCGTTCAGCAGTGGAACTCTCTGCCCCGGAGTGTGGTGAGGCTCCTTCTTTGGAAGCTTTTAAACAGAGGCTGGATGGCCATCTGTCAGGGGTGATTTGAATGCAAAATTCCTGCTTCTAGGCAGGGGGTTGGACTGGATGGGCCATGAGGTCTCTTCCAACTCTTTGATTCTATGATTCTATGATTTCTGGATTTATAAAATCCACATTGAACTGGATTATATGGCAGTGTGGACTCAGATAACCCAGTTCAAAGCAGATATTGTGGACGATCTACCTTGATATTCTGGGTTATATGGCTGTGTGTAAGGGCCCTGACTGAAGTTGATGCTGGGCGACATTTATGAAATGAAACTCCAACAATAGTCTATGCTCAATTGAGCTTCTGAACTAATTTCAGCATTTCTGGCACTAGTCTAGCACATGTGATGCTGGCATGAAGTCCTGCTGAATGTTATCACTATGCAGAAATAGCAGTTGGGCAAAAAGGATAACTACCTAATAATAATAATAATAATAATAATCTTTATTTATACCCTGCCACCATCTCCCCAACGGGGACTCAGGGCGGCCTACAATGAGGCCAAGCCCAATCAACAAATTACAGCAAAATAAAACCAAAAACACATGCAACAAACAACAACATAATTACATAAAACATATGAATACATTAACAATATAAGATTACAATAAACACAGTAACAATGGGCAGCTACATGTGTGAGAAAATGATTAAAAACTGATTAAAAACATGGGTGAGATAAAAGTAGAAGTAGGTTATTTGGGGAGGGGGGCTACCTACTTAAGAGCTTTGTGTCGCTGCTTTTACTAGTACCCTGAAGAAGAGTTCTAATGAAACCCTCCAGGTTGCACGCACCAATGAAAGGTAACTTTCAAGTACAGCATTATTTCACTCTGTTATATTATCTAAAATGCATTTTCCAATAGTAATTTGGGGAAAGCGCTATAGGTTGAAGGATCTCCATCGTTTTATTGAAATACGTCAATTATATTATAGTTGTGCCATGGTTAGGATCCCACGTGTGCTATAAAGCCAGTCAAAATCATAAGGAACCAATGAACAACTGTATAGCTAGCTTAGACCAATGAAATGATTTGTCTTTGGGAATCAATGATAATGTACATTCCATTTACTACCAAAGTAATAAAAACCCTGCAGCCTCATTGGGGGTTGCGACAAACCCTTTGATTGCATTCCTGTATGCTTGTTTGTCGTTATTGCTATGGCCACACAATAAATGGTGTCTGTCCTTGCCCTCCCTATTGGAAAGGGGGCTCTTGGTTTTTGGGAAATACTTTTGGTTTCTTTGCCCCTTATTTATTGTGTCAGGAGCAAACCAAACATTTTTTTTAACAAACAAACAAAACACAAAGTTTGCAAGCTTGGTAGTTGATTAAATGTCCTTTGACCAGTATCTGGCCACTTGGAGTGCCTCTGGTGTTGCTGCAAGAAGGTCCTCCATTGTGTATGTGGCGGGGCTCAGGTTGCATTGCAGCAGATGGTCTGTAGTTTGCTCTTTTCCACACTCGCATGCCGTGGATTCCACTTTGTAGCCCCATTTCTTGAAGTTGGCTCTGCATCTCGTGGTGCCAGAGCGCAGCCTGTTCAGCGCCTTCCAAGTCGCCCAGTTTTCTGTGTGCCCAGGGGGGAGTCTCTCATTTGGTAACAGCCATTGATTGAGGTTCTGGGTTTGAGCCTGCCACTTTTGGACTCTCGCTTGCTGAGGTGTTCCAGCGAGTGTCTCTGTAGATCTTAGAAAACTATTTCTTGATTTAAGTCGTTGACGTGCTGGCTGATACCCAAATAGAGGATGAGCTGGAGATGTCACTGCCTTGGTCCTTTCACTATTGGCTGCTATTCTCCAACGGATGTCAGGTGGTGCAATACCTGTTAAACAGTGTAATTTCTCCAGTGGTGTAGGGCGCAGACACGCCGTGATAATGCGGCATGTCTCATTAAGAGCCACATCCACTGTTTTAGCGTGATGAGATATGTTCCATACTGGGCATGCGTACTCAGCAGCAGAGTAGCATAGCGCAAGGGCAGATGTCTTCACTGTGTCTGGTTGTGATCCCCAGGTTGTGCCAGTCAGCTTTGCCCCTACAGGTGAGCTATAAATCCCAGCAACTACAACTCCCAAATGTAAAGGTCTATTTCCCCCGAAACTTTTACCAGTGTTTACATTTGGGCATCTTGAGTATTTGTGCCAGCTTTGGTCCAGAACTATCATTGTTTGAGTCCACAGTGCTCTCTGGACGTAGGTGAACTACAACTCCCAAACTCCAGGTCAATGCCCACTAAACCCTTCCAGTATTTTCTGTTGGTCATGGGGGCTCTGTGTGGGAAGTTTGGCCCAATTCTATTGTTAATGGACTTCAGAATTCTCTTTGATTGTAGGTGAACTATAAATCCCGGCAACTACAACTCCCAAATGTCAAGATCCATTTCCCCTGAAACTCTTACCAGTGTTTACATTTGGGAATCTTGAGTATTTGTCTCAACTTTAGTCCAGAACTATCATTGTTTGACTCCACAGTTCTCTCTGGATGTAGGTGAACTGCAACTCCCAAACTCAAGGTCAATGCCCACCAAACCCTTCCAGTATTTTCTGTTGATCATGGGAGTCCTGTGTGCCACGTTTGGTTCAATTCCATCATTGGTGGAGTTCAGAATGTTCTTGAATTGTAGGTGAACTATAAATCCCAGCAACTACAACTCCCAAATGTCAAGATTCTATTTTCCCCGAAACTCTACCAGTGTTTACATTTGGGCATCTTGAGTATTTGTGTCAACTTTGGTCCAGAACTATCATTGTTTGAGTCCACAGTGCTCTCTGGATGTAGGTGAACTACAACTCCCAAACTCAAGGTCAATGCCCACCAAACCCTTCCAGTGTTTTCTGTTGGTCATGGGAGTCCTGTGTGCCTAGTTTGGTTCAATTCCATCATTGGTGGAGTTCAGAATGCTCTTGGATTGTAGGTGAACTATAAATTCCAGCAACTACAACTCCCAAATGTCAAGATCTATTTCCCCTGAAACTCTTACCAGTGTTTACATTTGGAAATCTTGAGTATTTGTGCCAACTTTGGTCCAGAACTATCAGTGTTTGAGACTGGACGTAGGTGAACTATAAATTCCAGCAACTACAACTCCCAAATGACAAAATCAGTGAAGGACATACATTGGGTTGTTAGGTGTCTTGTGTCCAAATTTGGTGTCAATTGGCTCACTGGTTTTTGAGTTATGTTAATCCCACAAACGAACATTACATTTTTAGTTAGTTAGTTAGTTAGTTAGTTAGATAGATAGATAGATAGATAGATAGATAGATAGATAGATAGATAGATAGATAGATAAGATAGATAGATAGATAGATAGATAGATAGATAGATAGATAGATAGATAGATAGACACTGTTCTAGAGGCTGCCTTAGGCTTTGGGGCTTAAAAGGACTCCATCTCCCAAGAGCACCTTCGCGACACCAAGCTGCAACCCAACCTCTCTCCCCGCGCAGTGCATCCTGGGAGGCGTAGTTCTTTCCCTGGATCCTTGACACTACCTCATAGGAACGCCCTCTCCGTAGGCCTCAGGTGGTCTTTAGCTTCCGCTGACTCCGGATGTACTTCCAAGGGGGTGGGGAAGCGGGTTTCTAGCAAAGAGGGTCCAACTCAGTCAGAGGAAGGCTGAGGTTTGGTCGCACTTGCTCCTTCCACTATGTTTGGCTGCTTAGTCGCAGGGAGGCTGGTGAGTGACAGCAGAGGCCGGAGTGGGCGGGGAAACTGGTCTCTATGGCAACCACAGGGGAGGGAGGGGGAAGTAACCATGGAAACGGGAGGGCGCTTTGGGGGATTCCACTCTGTGTGTGGTTGGTCTTAAATATTATTATATTAAATATATTATATAAAATATTTTAAAAAATTGGTAAACAATGAGTCTTATTTTAAATATTTAAATATATTATTTTAAATATTTTTAATAGCCTTTGTGATGACATGTTTGCAATAATAATAATAATGATGGCTTCAAAATGTGGGTGGCATTACTTTTTTTAAGTTGTTACAGACCATTTGCAGGCCTGGGCCAACTTGGGCCCTCCAGGTGTTTTGGACTCCAACTCCCACAATTCCTAACAGCCTGCCGGCTATCTAATCTATCTATCTATCTATCTATCTATCTATCTATCTATCTATCTATCTATCTATCATCCTATCTATCTATCTATCTATCTATCTATCTATCTATCTATCTATCATCCTATCTATCTATCTATCTATCTATCTATCTATCTATCTATCTATCTATCTAGTTGGCCCAGGCCTGCCCTACAATGTCTTTAGCTGTCTTGTCGAAGGCTTTAGCTGTCTGTTTTGACTTCCCAGGTGCAGACCGTGGCACAACAGGTGGCGGAAGACAAGTTTGTGTTCGACTTGCCCGACTACGAAAACATCAACCATGTCGTGGTCTTCATGCTGGGCACCATCCCCTTCCCGGAGCGCATGGGCGGCTCTGTATACTTCTGCTACCCCAATGAGAATGGGTTGGCGGTGTGGCAGCTGCTGGGGTTTCTGACCAATGACAAGCCAAGCGCCATCTTCAAAATTTCCGGCCTGAAAACAGGTAAGAGACTCGTAGAGGTCAAAGCCCACCCAGCTCCAAGAAGTGAGCTCAAGTCCTGGAAACAGGGCTTCATGTTAAAGGATTTACTGCTGTGACCAAGAACTGAATCTAACCTTTGTGTTGCTTCCCATGGGGGTCCACATTATAGTCCTTCTTTTTGTTATACCCGTAAGAATCATATAATAATAATTATAAAAATAAACCCACCACCATCTCCCCAAAGGGAACTTGGGGCAGCTAACATGACGCCAAGCCCAAAATAATACAACATAATAAACACACAATAACAAAATACATCATAACAAAATTTATATTTATTTATTTGTCATGTCATCAGCAACCATACCATTGCATTACATTTCTAACAGAACAAAACAAACAAACAGATTTTTTTTAAAAAAAACAAAACACAGATTTTGCAAACTTGGTAGTTGGTTAAATATCCTTTGACCAGTATCTGGCCACTTGGAGTGCCTCTGGTGTTGCCGCAAGAAGGTCCTCCATTGTGCATGTGACAGGGCTCAGGGTGCATTGCAGCAGATGGTCAGTGGTTTTCTCTTCTCCACACTCGCATGTCATGGATTCCACTTTGTAGCCCCATTTCTGAAGGTTGGCTCTGCATCTCGTGGTGCCAGAGCGCAGTCTGTTCAGCGCCTTCCAAGTCGCACAGTCTTCTGTGTGCCCAGAGGGGAGTCTCTCATTTGGTATCAGCCATTGATTGAGGTTCTGGGTTTGAACCTGCCACTTTTGGACTCTCGCTTGCTGAGGTGTTCCAGCGAGTGTCTCTGTAGATCTAAGAAAACTATGTCTTGATTTAAGTCGTTGACGATGCTGGCTGATACCCAAACAGGGGATGAGCTGGAGATGTCTCTGCCTTGGTCCTTTCACTATTGGCTGCTACTTCCCGGCGGATGTCAGGTGGTGCAATACTGGCTAAGCAGTGTAATTTCTCCAGTGGTGTAGGGCGCAGACACCCTGTGATAATGTGGCATGTCTCATTAAGAGCCACATCCACTGTTTTAGCATGGTGAGATGTGTTCCACACTGGACATGCGTACTCAGCAGCAGAGTAGCATAGCGCAAGGGCAGATGTCTTCACTGTGTTTGGTTGTGATCCCCAGGTTGTGCCAGTCAGCTTTCATATGATGAAATCTATATAAATAAAAATGTCATGTTCATTTGTGGGATTAGCAGAACTCAAAAACAACTGGACGTATTGACACCAAATTTGGACACAAAACACCTATCAATCCAATGTATGTCCTTCACTCAAAACATTGATTTTGTCATTTGGGAGTTGTAGTTGCTGGGGTTTATAGTTCACCTACAATCAGAGAGCATTCTGAACCCCACCAACGATGGAATTGAACCAAACATGGCACACAGTTCTCCCATGACCAACAGAAAATACTGGAAGGGTTTGGTGGGCAGTGTCCTTTGGTTTTGGAGTTGTAGTTCACCTACATCCAGAGATCACTGTGGACTCACACAATAATGGATCTGGACCAAACTATACACAAATACTCAATATGCCCAAATGTGAACACTGGTGGAGTTTGGAGAAGATAGAATCTTGATATTTGGGAGTTGTAGTTGCTGGGATTTATAGTTCACCTACATTCTGAACCCCACCAACGATGGAATTGAACCAAACTTGGCACACAGTTCTTCCATGTGGGCCACAGCAATGTGTGGCAGGGGACGGCTAGTAACAAATAAAATAAACAATATAAAACAGCATAATAAAACCAGACAAGAGGGCAGGCCAAATGTATGAGATAAGATGTTAAAAAATTACAACCCTTGGTGAGATAGGGATGAAAGAGCATTTGTAGGGGAGGAGCTGTGGGATTTAGACATTTTAGGGGCGGGAAAGGTGCTTTATTGTGAGGGCAGCTGTAGGTTAAAACAACCAGATGGGTCGAGTGGTCATTCTCTGAAAGCACAGCAGAAGAGCCAGGTTTTTAGATTTTTCTTAAAAACAGCTAGGGTGGGGGCCAGGCAGCGAATTCCAAAAGCGGGGGCCACAGCGTAAAAGGCCCTCTCCCTCGTTCCCATAAAAGGCTGTGATAAAGGAATTTTAAAATAACTTTGGTGCTTTTTGTGAAGTTTTGGGTATTTGTTTTGGCTAGAAAAAATTAAACAATGGGAAGGAATCTGGGAGATTTAGAAGTCTCTTGAAGAACTCTGAGGGCCACAGAATCAACTCAACTCATGGGCCACAGGTTCTGCATCACTACCATAATTATTTACTAGAGATTGTGATTTGGAAATATTTTTTTAGGAGTCCTTATTAGAGCTGTGTTCTGTATTTCCTCCTGCTAAAAGGATAGGTGCCACTCTTGTTCAAGAAGACTTATGTAAATCTGGGGCTTGTTCAGAATTGAGTTCCTGTGGACATAAGAGTTAATGCTTCAGACCAGCTCTGATGTCTCTTTCAGGGAAGGGCAGCCAACATCCTTTCGGCGCCATGAACATCCCCCAAATGCCTTCTGTAGCCCAGATTGGGATTTCCGTGGAGCTGCTGGAACTGTTGGCTCAGCAAACTCCTGTAGCAAGTGCCGCTGCATCATCGGTCAATTCATTCACGGAGGTAATTGGAAAGCCGTTTTGATTCCAGTTATCATCGCGAGATCAACCCTATTGTTTATGGGTCTTGAACTACTGGACATCATCCAGGGTGTTCAACTGGGGCACTAATGAACCCAACACATGTCCGGAAAAAAACATAAGATTTGTGATAAAAAAATTAATCAATTTTTTTTAAAAAAATGTTTTTCTACCAACACAGGATTCAAAGCAGCTTACACCATTATAAAACCAAGTGTGACTTACAAAAGTCTTTTTAAAAATCATATTTTTTAAAAAAATAAGTTACAACCTGTTTTTAAAGAATAATATTCCTAATTATAAGCCGCACATGATGCAACAGACTTTCCTTAATAAAAAGGCCTTTACCTGCCGACAAAAAGGCATCACTTGCTTATTTAACTTATTTATACATCATTTATATTTCAGCTGTCTTTCAATATTGAGACCCAAGGTGACTCACAACCCGATTAAAACACAGGCACAGCAAAAAGCATAATAAAATATAATATCAAAAATCAATTATATGGATTATAATATTATAATATTAATTTTTAAAATATATAACAATATAACAATATGAACTTCCTTGAAATACAGCCATGAGGCCAAGCCTAAAATAATATAACATAATAAACACACAATAACAAAATACATCCTAATAAAATATGAAATAACAAATAAAATCAACAATATAAAACAGCATAATAAAACCAGACATAGAGGGCGGGCCAAATGTATGAGGTAAAATGTTAAAAATTTAAAACCCTTGGTGAGATAGGGATCAAAGTGCATTTGTAGGGGAGAAGCCGTGGGATTTAGCCATTATTATTATTATTTCTGGACCCCCAAAGTCCGTTAGACAGCATGACCATCAGCATGCCTAAAAAACACCACCAAACATTTCCTTCATTCTGCACAGTGCAAAGGCTATCTTTCAAGAAAGTTTGCCTTGTTATATGTTTTTAAAAAGCAATTTAATCCATGTAACTGAAGAGGAGAGGAAGGATCAATAGCTTCCCTCCCATTTATTCATCTTGGGAATTGGGTAATGCATACATTTAAATATACATTTTCAGCTGAAACTGGTCTGCTGACATTCCTCCTTTTCACTACATACATAGATGGGAAAAATTGTTTTCCTTGCAGCTTCAATCTAACAACAACAACAACACAACAACACTTTATTTATATTCTGCCCTTCTTCCCGTGCAGATTATAGTGTAAACAGATACCATTCAATGCCTTGTTACAATACAATGAGACACCCAAACAAAGGCAGAGGCTTCTCATTTAATTTCATATCATTTCCAGAAATGTTAAATCTAGATTAATGTAATCCCAGTAACATAGAAACATTTCTAGTTTAGCTTGTCTCTTGAATGCTGAATAGGCTTTTTCGTTACAGTGTGATCCCAGAGGCATTCAAAGTTAGATCACGTATGGATATCATTTTCTTTTTTACTGCCCAATGAACCTGTCATTTCTAACAGTAGCATTGATACCTCTTTTAAGCTAAGACTAGAAAACGGCCTTCTCTCTTATTTTATATGCTGACTTACAGGAATGTTATAATGCTGTGGTTGGCATCTGTGTCGGCAGTCTAAAAAGGACCAAGAGCATTTGCAGTATGGAATTGTCCTATCTCTCTCTCTAATGTTCCTGAAATTGGCTTTCAAAATTATAAACAATGTTCAATGACAAAATAAGATGCAAAACTTCCCTTTGAGAACAACCATTTTATAGTTCAGAAGCAATCTCACTCTAATGTTGATGGAGTTTGTTTTTCCAGTTGCTTGTATTTGTCCCTATCTGCCTCCCTTCCCACAGTCACTCGCTCATCTGAAGTCTTTGCTGAAACTTGTCTTGACTTATCAAAGACAAATGGTCAGCTGAGGTTATCACTGCTATTTAGAAACTAAAGATTTTCACCCTTGTTCTAGTATTTTGAGGGTTGCGCAACCAGTCTTTCCTTGCTTCTTCTCCACCTCTCCCCTCCTTGGGGCTCCTCTACCTTCAAAGTGAGTCACAGTGGTTGCAATGCAAGAGAGGAATAGCATATGTAGTTGGCCCTTCACATTTGTTGGTGTGATTATTCACAAATTTGAATAATTCCTTGAACTCTTTAGGTCGTCATATTGGGGGACCTAGAGTTTCCCAGTGAGATCACTTCTCTAACATATGTTGATCTTTTAGTGCAATTCTGTGGTCAAGTGAATGTGGAGGGTAATAATACAGCACACCTTACAATATATTTGCATTGCTTTTGAATAAATCATACATGTATTATATATATATATATATATATATATGAGTTTTTATGTGTTTGTTTTGTGTCTTTCAGTTTACTCAAAAGATGCTAGACAATTTTTATAACTTTGCTTCATCCTTTACTGTCACTCAAGCCCAAATGGTACCCAACCCATCTGAAGCTTTCATTCCTGCAAACGTAGTCCTGAAATGGTAAGGGGACAAAAGCTACACTTCAGGTCCGCAGAGTCTTGAGAGGACTGAATTTCAGCTTTAGCAATATTATAATTGTAAATACCCACAATAACTCCTTTGTAAGCGTGGCATTCGTTGAGTAAACATTGATTGTATCTTTTGCACAATGCTTGTGGCAAGCCTGAGCTGTCTCCAGGAGAGCAGACATGGAAAGTTTACAAAACTTGGAATATTGGGGGAGATGTATTTGGAGTTCAGTGTGTGTGAATGGGATACATGTTTAAAATGTGATAGTCTGATCTCTTTCTGAATATATTTTAACTGACCTTTAAAGTGTGAAGAGTTAGGTTTCTTCTCTTTCAACTTGGGGTGTTATTGTTAAGTATTGTCGAAGGCTTTCATGGCCGGAATCACTGGGTTGTTGTAGGTTTTTTCAGGCTGTATGGCCATGGTCTAGAGGCATTCTCTCCTGACGTTTTGCCTGCATCTATGGCAAGCATCCTCAGAGGTAGTGAGGTTTGTTGGAACTAGGAAAAAGGGTTTATATATCTGTGGAATGACCAGGGTGGGACAAAGGATTCTTGTTTGCTGGAGCTAGGTGTGAACGTTTCAACTGACCATGAAAATGAACAACATCTGGCTACCAGTATTAAAAAACTCTAAAATTGCAACAGCACAACAACAGAGAGGAAGCAGGCAGGGACATCTAATTACCTCTCAACAAAAGTTTGCTCCAGGCACAGTCAGCCCATTGTATGCTAATCAAGGTGGTCAGTTGAAACATTCACACTTAGCTCCAGCAGACAAGAGTCCTTTGTCCCACCCTGGTCATTCCACAAATATATAACCCCTTTTTCCTAGTTCCAACAGACCTCACTACCTCTGAGGATGCTTGCCATAGATGCAGGCGAAACTTCAGGAGAGAATGCCTCTAGACCATGGCCGTACAGCCCGAAAAACCCTACAACAACCCACTGTTATTGTTATGTTGACATCAATGCATAATGTTTGGCCATTCCCACTAACATGAGAATGAGTCATGCGTTGCATAGCTCAAAGATGTTAGAGGTTGTGGTGAAGTTTTAAAATGTTGGAATACAATAAGATTAATCTGGATTTGAAGGGGAAAATGGAGGGATAACATGAGATGTGAAGAGTAACTTAAATATGTTTAAAAGGGAATAACACTGGGAGACATATTAAGATATATATTTTTTGTCGTGTCAGGAGCGACTTGAGAAACTGCAAGTTGCTTTTGGTGTGAGAGAATTGGCCGTCTGCAAGGACGTTGCCCAAGGGACACCCAGATGATTTGATGTTTTTATCATCCTTGTGGGAGGCTTCTCTCATGTCCCCGCTTGGGGAGCTGGAGCTGACAGAGGGAGCTCATCCGCCTCTCCCCGGATTCGAACCTGCGACCTGTCGGTCTTCAGTCCTGCCGGCACAGGGGTTTAACCAGGGACTATTAAGATAATAATCTAAGAACGAACATATTTAAATTGAAAATAATTGGAGTGCTACTTCATTGACCTTTTTGCTCCATGTTTTTAACCTTTTTACTAAAGGTAATATGTCCTTTAAAAATTGGTTTATATATAGGAAATGCTGAAATGCAATCATATAATAGGGCTGCTGTGAGTTTTCCGGGCTGTATGGCCATGTTCCAGAAGCATTTTCTCCTGACATTTCACCTGCATTTAGGGCAGGCATCCTCAGAAGTTGTGAGGTATGTTGGAAACTATGCAAGTGGGGTTTATATATCTGTGGAATGTCCAGGATGGGAAAAGAATTCTTTTCTGCTTGAGGCATGTTTGAATGTTTCAATTTGCCACCTTGATTAGGCTTCCAGTTTCAAGGTCTTTCTGTTTGCTGCTTGGAAGGAACCTTTGTTGGGAGGTGTTAGCTGGCCCTGATTGATTCATATCTGGAATTCCTATGTTTTCTGAATGTTCTTTATTTACTGTCCTAATTTTAGAGATTTTTTAAATACTGGTAGGCAGATTTTGTTCATTTTCATGGTTTTCTTTCTTTTGAAATTGTCCACGTGCTTGTAGATTTAAATTGAGTTTTTTTTAAAAAAAACCCTCTAAAATCAGTCAATAAAGAACAACATTCAGAAAACAGAGGAATTCCAGACATGAATCAATCAGGCTTAGCTAACATCTCTCAGCAAAGGATTCCTCTCAGGCTGTAAACAGCCAGAACTTGAAACTGAAAGCCTAATCAATGCTAATCAAGGTGGCCAATTGAAACATTCACACCTGTCTCAAACAGACACCCTGAATATTCCACAGATATATAAACCCCACTTACATAGACCTCATAACCTCAGAGGATGCCCGCCATAAATGCAGGGGAAACACCAGGAGAGAATACGTCTGGAACATGGCTATACAGCCCGAAAAACTTACAACAACCCCACTTGCATAATTTCCAACATACCTCGCAACCTCTGAGGATGCCTGCCATAGATGCAGGAGAAACGTCAGGAGAGAATGCTTCTGGAACATGGCCAAACAGCCCAAAAAATTTACAACAACCCCACTTGCATAATTTCCAACATACCTTGCAACCTCTGGGGATGCCTGCCAAAGATGTAGGCGAAACATCAGGAGAAAATACTTCTGGAACATGGCCATACAGCCCGAAAAACTTACAACAACCCACTGATTCCGGCCATGGAAGCCTTCAACTACTCATATCATATAATAGTTTAATAGTTACCTTTGCTTGGAGAGGAGGAAAGTCAACTGGATTTTAATATGTTTTGTAGTATTGTTATTTTATTGTTTTAGTTTATTATAGTTTAATGGGGTGGAGGTAGGTTGTTGGTTTGTGGAGATGGATTGTGGGGAGACATATTATGCATTTTTTTAGTTTGTAGTTGTATTTCTGTTTTTAAATAAATAAAAATAACAACAGGTAGTACAAAGTAAACGAATTGGAAAATGATACAGCAACTGTGCCACAAGTAGACAGTCTCTGCCCTTTCAGATGGTTTAGAGTACAGTTTTTGAAGTGCTTTCCTGCTAACTGTTGGCTGGAGTTGATGGGGATTATTTCCAGATATTGGAGAGCCCATCTTTGATGTGACTAGAAGATCATAATGATTTATAATTAAAATGTTTCATGATTTCAATTTTAATTATGCTCAACTTCCTTTTCTTCCAGGTATGAGAATTTCCAAAGACGACTGACTCAGAATCCTTTATTCTGGAAATGATATTGTCTAATAAATTTTAGTTTCTTTTCCATTTTCTCTAGCTGTAGTGTATTGATTTGTTTCTTTAACAATTCGAGTTGGTAAGATAGTTTTTTGTCTGCTGGATTTTTTTTAGCTTGTCTTTCGTAATTTTTTTTTTCTAATTTGTCATACTCCTGTCTTCTAATTCTATTTGTTCTTGCTCCTTGTTCTATTAAGTGCCCTCGCATGAATGCTTTGCTAGCATCCCAGATAATACCAATTGTAGTGTCTTTTACCGTATTGAATTTAAAATATTCCCTTAAGAGCGCTTTATTTTTTCTAATTTCTTTGGATCTGAAAGAAAGCTATTGTTCAGTCTCCAATTAATAGTTCTTTCTTTAATCTGTTGTTCCTGTACTATTATTTCCATAGGGGCATGATCAGAGTTTAACATACGTAATATCTTAGATTTAGTTACTTTTGTTAGGATTGTTTTTGTTCCCCAGACCATGTCGATGCGAGACCACATTCTGTGTCTGTTAGAGAAGAAAGTAAAGTCCTCTCCTCTTTCGTGTTGTTGTCTCCAGATATCATATAAGCCAAGTTCTTCTTTTAATTCTATAATTTTTTTGGGCAATACTCCTGATAATTTTAATTTTGTCTCCCAATTTCTAACGGTTTTATCCTTTGTTACATCTAACACGCCATTGAAGTCCCCCATGATCAACAGTTCATCATATTCTTGTTCCTCAATATTCTTCCTTAATTTCCCAATAAATTTACTTTTGCCGTCGTTTGGTGCATATATATTGCATATTAATATAGATTTACCTTCCTATCTTTATTCCCAACATTCTCCCTTCCTGATCTTTGATTGTATTTTTTTCATTTACATATGTCACTAAGCCTTTCTTTTTCTCAGGCCCAGAAGCATAGTAAGCCTTCCCCAGCGATTTCTGTTCTAAGTAAACAGGATGCTTGTGTGAGATGTGTGTTTCTTGTAGAGAGATTAAATCACAATTACCTTTCTTTAGATCATGCCAGTTGTTTTTCCTTTATTAGGTGAATTTAACCCATTTACATTGTTAGAGTATATTTTAATTCTCCCGTTCATAGTCGTCTTTTATTTCTTCTCCTAATTCCGGGTTTGCCTTTGCAGTGTCTGCTTGGAGCTCGTAATCCTTCGGTGATTTTTCTCTTTGTCTTTTTCTTCTCTTATCATGTTCATCCATTTCTTTTAGTAGGGACATTGTTAACATGTCTTCTTTATATTTCTTTTGTGATGTGTTCGGTTTGCCTTCCTCCTCTTTCTTCATTTCTTCTTTCTCTTTCCCCTCCTTTTTGAGGACTTTAACCCAAAAAGCTCTTGCCTTGGCTTCGGATGTTAACCAGTATTTAGTTTCCTTCCAAGTTACCATTAGGCCCTCTCTTTTTCCCCATTTATATCTGATATTTCTTTTTTTTAATTCTTCCGTCAGGAAGTAGTGTTTGTGCCTCTTTTCTAATATTGTTTGGGGGAATTCTTTTAGAATCCCTATTCTATTTCCTTTGTAATATGTTAGTAGTTTCGTATTTCCTTTTAATATCTAATCCCTCATGGTTTTCCTTGAAAAGCACACAATCAAATTGTTGCGGCACATACTTTACCCGAGATCATTTAGAGCACAATCAAGTAGGAAGGAGACTGAGACAGCAATTGATTTTCAGGCATATTTACTATCAAGGTTGATAGGACGCTCAGAAACAATATCTGAAGCGTACTGGAAGTCAGTCAGGTTACAATATTTATAGCAGAAGTCCACTGGTTCAGACATGCGTAGAACTGTCTTGACATTTACACAGTTATAATCATTAACAGAGGTCCTTACGTATTGCCTTTTTCCATACACCACGATGACGTGTTATAATGACGTACTTCTAATTGTTTCAAATCTTAATTATTCCCATACTCGTAATTCACTAGAATTGATTCCTTTAGAAAATGCATCTGACCTTTCCTGCTATTTACATCCAGGAGATGGCGCTATCTGACCTTTTAGGTGTTCCAGTCTTAGATCAATTACAGTACACAGGTGTTCTTGTCTGGCTGCCAAGAACATTCCCTTTGGCAATGCCATGACGACAAACATATTACTTACTATTGTTTCCCAAATGTCAGGTTCCATTAATATTTAACTTCCTTGACTCCATGAAGCCTGTTCAGTCAATCATTTACTTTCATCTTTGGAACACTTCACTTCTCTCTACTAAACCTCCCCTGCCGCAGAATTCTCAAGGTATTCTTTCCTATATTCAATTTAAATACATTTTTATAATTATTTTCTTCCGCTTGCTGCCACAACATCCCTAGGTATTTTGAATCTTTTTGAGTAATTTGTTTGGATTCTAAGAACCCTATCTAAATTAGCTTCAATATCTACTTTATTTTTATTAATAATATGAGCTGTAATGTCTATTATAATTTCTCTTGTATTCTCATTATCCTCTTCTATTATGTTTCGAAATCTTAACTGGTGTTCTTTCTCTTTAATTTCTAAAATTTCCTGCTGATTCTGTATTGAATTAATTACTCCTTCCAAATTTTTGATTTTCTTCTTCAGACTCTCTTGTTGAGTTTTTATTATTTTGTTTTCATTTATTAATTCCTTATTTTCTTGTTTTAGTTTTTCAGTGTCATCTCTCATTGTTTTCATCTCTTCTTTGATTACTGTCTGTAATTCCCCTTTTATTTCTTTTTTCATTCCCTTCATTTTTTCCTTGATTATCTTATTTTGTGTATTTTGATTATCTTGTATCTTCTGAACTTCTGTCTGAAATTTCATTATTTCTCTCATAATGTCCTTGATGCCTAGTTCTTCTGGCAGGGAAGCTCTTCTTCCTGTCCCCGGTCCTTTTTTCTCCATATCTTTTTCTTTCTCCTGTTTCCCCTTTCGAGTTGACATTGTTTTGAGTATTTTTCCACGTTTGTTTATATTTATATTTATATTTTATGGTTTTTGGGCTTATCTGGGTTATTAGCTTATCCTTTCTAGTCTGTGTATTCAGTTCATCTGTATTCTTCTCCCTTTCTTTCTCCTCCCCCCCTTTTCCGCTTATTTACCTTTGTAAAGTTCCCCAATTTAAAATCATTTCTATTGTCCACTGAGCTTCTAGGGGGAATACTATAGGATTAAATCAGACTCAATGTCAAGTATTTGTTTAACCCAGTTCAGTCCAATTTTATCTTTAGTTTACCTTACTTTCACATTAGCTGTTCTTCGTCGCTGCCTCCTTCTTTTCTGGGTCTTTCCTCCCCTCCTTCTTCCACTGTTGCATCGTGTCTCTTCCGCTTCTTTGTCTCTCCCGTATTTATGCTTTGGCGACTGCGCTCTGTGTTTGGTTAAGCACATATTGTCCCCGCTAAAGATTTTATGCTCCCGCTCGCTCGCGAGTCCCGTATAGCTCTGTCAAGAATACCCTGCGCGGCTCGTGGGGCTGCGCGGAGGCTTCCGTATTCTTTGGGGGGTGGGAAGCGTCCCTCCTCGCTTCTCCGCTCTTGTGCCTGTCGTCTCTTGCTTGCTCTGATAGGTCTTGTACGGCAAGGGCGCTGCCTCCTCTTTTATTGCGATTCTC